ACTGAAAATTACAAAGATCGGGTCACTATAACCTAAATCTCCCATACGACTGATTGTTCAGATATACGCTTTTTCGTTATAACTCCTCTATTTATGTAGCTAGGAACTTGAAATTTTGCACTACTGTCACTAATTATCAAGATATTACTTACAGTAAAAATGGCGAAGATCGGGTCGCTATAACCTATATCCTCCATACAACTGACTGTTCAGATATGGGATTTTTCGTTATAACTCCTCCATTTATGCAACTAGAAACATGAAATTTTGCAATACTTCCACCCATTATCATCAAAAGACTTACACTGAAAATTACAAAGATCGGGTCGCTATAACCTATATCCTCAATACAACTGATTGTTCAGATATGGGATTTTTCGTTATAACTCCTCCATTTATGCAGTTAGGAACATGACATTTCGTACTATTACTACTCATTATAAACAGAATACTTACATACAGCTCCCATACAACTGATTGTTCAGATATGAAATTGTTTGTTAAAACTCCTCAATTTATGCAGATAGGAACATGAAATTTCGCAGTATTTTCATTAATTAACAAGAGAAATGAAAATTACAAAGATCGGGTCGTTTGACCTATTGGCTCCATACAACATTGTTGAGATATGAGGTTTTCAAATAAAACTCCTTCATTTTAACAGCAAAAACCGGGACACCTTCTGAGCTATTTACTTATCAACCAAATAAAGTCCACTGAGGAAATCAGCCAATTCGGTGCTCCATGAGGTATGTAACCCATAGCTATAATTGTTCGGATTTGAGTTTTTTCTTAAAAACCCCTTCATTTAGACGGCTAGACAGTGAAATATTGTGAGCTACAGGTATAAGTTTTTTTAAGGTTAAGGACCTATTATTTTGTACCTTGTCTAAGTTATGACAATCAATTCAAGAAGTCTAGGCTCGGGCGAAGTCGAACATTAAATACCGAAAACCACCGTTATGGTTTTACCCTTCTTTCAAACAACATCTATAGTATAATGAAATATACTTATGTATACAGTCATAAGTGGGTGGCACCACGACCATTTTCCAAATTCCATAATAATCTTATTTCTTTTTGAGAGATTATTGTTAGAATTAATTTTGAGTTAATAAGCGTATTTAGATTTCGAAATATCGTAGTTTCCATACTTCTGAAATATACCGTTTTATACAAAAAGTGGGCGCAATTTTTGTCCGATTTCAAGCATTTTCAACGTCTTTCTTTTTTGTGTCAAGTACATTTATTATACCGAGTTTGATACAAATGGATTGAACAGTCACCTAGATACACATATGAGGTCACAAGTGGGCGGTATCGCGCCCATTTTCCAAAATGTTTTCTAAACGTATTTCTTGCTAAATAATTATTGAAAATGTTTTACTAAAGCCAACATCTTCGCCAAATTTTATAGAAATTAGTGGAGCGCTTACCGAAATATGCACATGTAACCATAAGTGGCCGGGCCTACGCGGTTTATGTATTTTTCCAAACTACCATTACATAGGATGTAAGCGTGGTTATTGTCTAATTTTGCTCATTTTCAATACTACCGGTCCTTAGCTCAAAATAAATACACGTACCAATTTCGGTAAGATATCTCAATTATTACTATATTTATAGTGTGCAAAGACGAACGGGCTGACGGACGGACAGACAGTTACAGCTTCATTGATTTCTTTTATTATTTAGAGTCCGATAAATGTGCTAAAAGTATTTCTTTTCGCGTATACAGAAGTAAAGGGAAATTTGGAATTTTATGAAAAGTTTAGCAGTCGCTACCAATCTAGAGGCCAGATACTGAAACTGCGGAACGCACACATGTGTGATTCCCTGTTACGAAGAAGTAGCTTAGAATGTTTAAATTCAAAACAATAACATTTCTCAAAAAACGGAACAAAAGTCTTAAACACTTTGTCATTTAACCCGGTTCTTTTTTTGTTGAAAACTCATTGAATTACAAACAACTGTTTGTCCGCAGACCGAAGCCGTGATAGGTCTTTGTTATTTCTAAAATCTGTAAGGAAAGAATAGTAATTACAGCTGGTACATGCACTGCTACCTGTTTGGTTCACTTTGTTCATACATATGTGCACACATATGTGGTACGCGAGAAAAAAGGTTGACTACCATTGTTCAAGACAATAGATCAGGGGAGACATTTCCATACTCGCAATAACACACTTTATCTAACAGTTGTTAAGGACGTATCGTCCATTATGACGGTGATTCATTTAGGTAACCTCCGCGACTAGTAGCTATAGATGCTTTCCTTTCACACCAGACAATGCTACTCGTATTTCGCTAAACGGCGGTCCCCATTTTCTCTACCTACTCTCTTTAAGAGGTTATTTCAGAAATTTCTTTATGAGAAAACACAGAATGGTTATTTTGAATTACTAAAATATAAGTATTCAGTTTAAATTTAGACTTCCAAGCGATATCTGGTTGATCTCTAAAATTAAATATTAAAAAAAAAATTCATTAAATTCGAAATTTAAATATATTTACTACAAGTATTTACAAAAAAAATGCCACGAGTATCTGCGCGATCACAAGAACAACGACGTCGTGAAGCTGTAATTCGGAGCCGCCAGCACTATGAACGAAATTTATCGCAAAATAGGACAATAAGCGCCAGTCTTATGGCTAACCTTCGGTCTTCAAATACCCTGTTTCGTCAAATAGAAAGGGAAAATGATGCAGCATTGCACAGAGTAAGAAGGCGTCTACCAATGCGTAGAGTTATGGAACAAACCCAGGACACCATGGCGCACCGGTTAAGAAGGACTGTTCCACAATTAAGGGAAAATGAACGCGTTCGCGACTCGGAAGCACGTGTACTACGACGAAAAAATCCGGATTTGAGATGGGATGAACAAGCGCATAATACGGTGGCGCATCGGTCAAGAAGGACTGTCCCACAATTAAGGGAAACTGAACGGGTTCGCGACTCGGAAGCACGTCTACTACGAAGACAAAATCCGGAGTTGAGAAGGGACGAACAAGCCC